TGTCTCAATTCAAGATGCTACTAGACCGACAATTTGCAGAGGCAAAGTACAGAGAGCGAAGCGATTAATAAAGAGTTCATGTCCGAAAACGACGAATGATGCAGCTACACAGAGCAACCACTACTCGCTGCTTCCCACCAGTTCTCAGTTCTTATATATATATATATATATATATATATATATATATATATATATATATATATATATATATATCACTCAAGGGATCGACAAAAAGTGGTCGCCTTGGACAGATGGTCGCCACAGAGTTCATGCATAGGGAGTACTACTCACCATCGATTGCGCATGTGTACTACGCTTACAAATGCAAACTAGGTCCGTACACAGACACCGATAATTAATTTTAGTCTTCGAATTAAAGCAACAACAGTAGAATTATATACCGTGGGATGTATATGTAATAAAAAAGGAAAAGCTACAGTTTATAAGTAGACATTATAAAAAGCAGCCTGCAAATCCGCGCAATCCACAAATTTTAAATAATACACACACACACGCTTCTATGGCCCGTAACATTTTCCACCAGATGAAAAAAAAATCAAGTCTGTTGCTTTGTAACTGAAATGAAAGATGAAATTGGCTTTTCCCTCAGGTTCATGATAGATGCAAGCATGTCAGTGAGTCCTCTACTAGTTGGGTAGGAGCGCAAGATATCAACAGCGTCTGTGAATGTATAGGCTGACAGAACGTCTGCAGAATCTTGTTCCTGCTCGTCGTCTGATACACTATTCCCATCCTCAGCTGCCAAAATTAAAATGCCAGGAAGGTCCCAGTTGATTTCCGTTGTGTTAAACGTTTGGCGATTTGAATCAACTATGGGGCTGTCAGTAAGTTGACATGCAAACAATTCCTTTGAAAGATTATCCAATGCAGTAGGGGTTGCAGGAGGTACAATTCGCTCGTCTGCATTACGTCCAGTTTGCATTGTCATTTGAATCGATGTCTGCAGGATAACGAAACCCTACCTTGCAAAAATACTTGGATTGTTGAGTTCTCCACCTCCATGAACGCGGCAAAGATCCAGACCACGACGTTCAATAAATTTACTCTTTCATGAGTGCAGTTCCCGACCTATCTTCGTGTGATTCCATGATGGTAATAATATGTAGAAGCTATATTTTCGAAAAGTTAATTAAAATGCGTGAATGACGCCCTGATCGAGGGGAACTAGCGATGTGGTTTTGGGAGGTAGGAACTGTAGTTGGACATTCTTTAGCTAACGATGGCAAGTGGCCTTTTCAAGGAACAAAATGATGTTACCCTTTTCTTGTTAGATTTGTTTGTCAAAGCTTTTAACCAACCTTTAAAAATAACTGCAGTCAGCCACGCCTTTTTAGTATCCTTGTAAATTATCCGTAGTATTTTCCACGTTGATCTAAAAATTCGAGTTTGCCGATTTCTCAATCACTAAGACCAGTTCCCGCTCCCCAGAACGTTAGCACACAGCATAACTGTGATTCCCTCCTTGTTTCTTTGTCCACTTGCACGTTTTTCTCGTCTGACAAAAAATAGGTTTTTTCACACGCAGTTTTGCTTAACAGCCCAATTTCATTCAAATTATAAACGTCTTGAGCTGCGTAACCACAATATATTTCGGATAATTGTGTTATCCAGCCTGATGCAGTACACATATCTGAGTCAGCGCTTTCGCCAGATTGCCTACCAACACAAGGTTGTGTCTACTGATGAAAGCCTGCAGACAACCGTTTGATGCCTTAAAGTTCGAGTCATTAAATTGTTTCGTGAAGTGCAAGGCTCGAGCAGATAAATGTGCCATCAGGACCATGCCTGTAATGGTATGGAAAAAGGATTGTGCAAAAAATAGAGGAAAACGGCCATTTTTCTTTGCTTTTTTCTTTATTCCAGGGTTTCACATATACCGTTTTGAAATTTTTGTTGAAAATGCAAATTTGGATGAAGGGGAAACGTTTGAACAACATTGACGCCACTGATTTCGGGTAAGAGCCATAGTCTCCAAAACTTTCAACCAGTTGGATTTCCAAAAACATAGACTCTAACCTAGAAGGCTGATAGATCCTGTGGGTGCCAAACATGAGGGGACATTCTTGTTGTTCCTTTTCCAAGTCATCGGTTGTCCGCCCAGGCATTTTCTTCACCCATGCCCAGAAATTGCAAATAATGTTCGGCGAGGAAGTCGGTTGGCTGGTATGTGCAGAATATGACCGAGTCAATGTAAATGGTGTTCGAGTGTGACGTCTTGGAGGCGGAGATTGTTCGCTACGAGTACTCGGCTTCTAACTTCCGAGTGGCTTACATCCACCACACACGAGTGAACGTTCGCAAGCAGCGGTTGTCGAAAGATGGTCGTTAAAGATCTTCTGCGCGAACAGGCCAGGTCTCGCAGCCTTACAGCTGGACCGCACGGACAGGGACACTATCTTTGAGCCTCAGACTGATGTCGCGGAGACGCCACAAATGTCTCAGGGTAGAACGGATACCAATAACTTGGAGGCAACCGAAATGAGACTGATCCCGCGGTGATTAGCGCATGAAGTGAAAGGCACCCTTCTTAAAAATAGGGATAACTAATTCGAAGGCGGATAAAGCGAAATGAATATTCTCAGTTCTAATTTTCACCCAGTATGGGACAAGGAACATCCAAATCCGGTTCATGGTAAAAGCATCACACAAAATTCGAGAGTATCAAATGGTAGCGAGTTATTAGTAAGTTGGATGCGATTGCACAACTCACCTATTTCTTCGTGCGCGACGTTCAGATCACCACTGACTATGACAGGTTTGACAGCGTCTAGTTTTTTCACGTACTGTAGGAAAGCAGGGTCCCATTGATGTTGCCGATAAGGTAACCTTACTAAACCCTGACCGGAGTTGGGAACGTCTGAAAAACAAGCAATTCGGTGCATAAACGTGACGTACATGCAGTGATCAGATAAAACTTTTCATACTCCGCTGTGATGACCCTTCCTTCAACATCATGATTTGACACATTGATACCATAGAAGACATTGATTGGCTCCAATTTGGAGTATAGACCGGTGCCGGCATAACCTTCTTTCTGAGCAGAGGACCAGTATGTCTTATAGCTCGAAAGGTTAGCATCTGCAGGGATTTTTATCAGTGAGCACTTTGTTTCCTGAATTCCTAAAATATCAGGCATCTCTTCTTCGACGTATCCAAGACCACCAGCCTACAATGGCTTAGAGTTAGGATAAATTCTGTGGGCAATACCTTAAGCCAAGCACGCAGGCCGTTCACATTCCATGAGCATATCTTCAAGTTCCACTTGTTAAGACTGGGTGAAATCAGCGAAGGAAGACTACCGGGGTAGGTAGAGCACCAAGAAAACTGTAAATTCTGCAAACGACGCTAAAAGACAAAGATTAAAATACCTTTTTCTCAGTTCCGTTACACTCATCAGATGTCTTGGTGTTCTTCTTGCTATCAGTGGTAGCTCGTGTACGTTTGGATGCTTTTTGTCCTTTGGAATCGTCCGCAAGCTTCGCGGAAGGGCGCTTTCCCATAAGTAGAAAACAAAGTGATCTTTGACGCAGGATCAATTCGGACTGCACACGTAATCACCGGGTAGGGAAACTAACTGAGGTGTTCTTCAAAAAAACCGACGCTAGGGAGAAATATAAAAAACTGTGCGGACAGATATATCTTGTTCATAGTACAAGTACCGGCAACACAATAAAAAAATTTGATGTAAGTTGTAAGAAGATAAGTATGATGAGGCATATGCTTTCAAACCACGCCCGATATACGCCGACCTGAGGATCACGAGCCTGTCGTGTGGTGCGAAGGCGCGGGTCTGAGTAAGCGTAGATGATGAGGCGACCCTCGCAGTATGCGTAGCCCACACGCGACTGTTGGTGGTTACGTGGCAGTGGAGCGTGAGTGCGCAGTACCGACGTACTACTGACACCACATCGGACATACGTATGTAAAAGGCATCTCACGCAATGAAAAAAACGTAAGTGACCATCAAGAGCAGAACGCCGAGGTTCAAAAAAGCACCACACAAACGGAATGAAAGCGACAAAAGCGACGGTACCACCTACGAGAAATGAGTCGGTAAGGTGTGAAGCGTGTTGTGCCGCAAGTAAACCCCACTGTGATTCCTGTTAGTACCACCGGACAGTTAACGGTCCGATTTCCCTCCGCTTCTGGATTGAAATCGGTGTATGGGAAACGAAGGCTCTAAAGTCAGAGAAAAAGGGGTTACGCCGCTGTGAAAATTGTGCCTAGCATTATTTATCACATTGCTCCATTAGTATTCCGTTTCAGTTTTAGTGTTGTAGAGAGCAGAAGTGAAAAGAGTCGTGTCAGCTGCTTCACCTCCCATTCACTGGCTAGATGATGCGTGTCGTTGCTAAATTGTGTTCCCTGAGGAATCATTACAACTGCAACAAACACAGCGGAATCCAGACGTTTTCAGCATGTATTTATCCAACCGCTGTTTGAAACACTTCTATATCTGGACACTGACAACATATTCCGGGAGGCTGTTCCATTGATTTACGATGCGGATGGATAAGATGACGACGGAACGGACATGGGGCCTCCGCGGTTTAAACAGTTTCCAACTGTAGTCGTGTCGAGTTATCTACATTGAGTTGGAAGAACTCTTGCACCTCCGTCCCCAAGTCTCCTATTAAAATGCGTCTAATATGTATCAGATCTCCACGGCGACGACGATAGTCCATAGAGAACAAGTTCACACTTTGAAGTCGAAGTGGATATGACAAATCGCGCAGCACTGATACAGGCTTGGATCCACGCCTCTGAACCTTCGGGATTAAAGCGCACAAACTTTGTGAGAGGATGTATAGCAAGTATTGCCTATTCCAGCACTGAACGGACGTGGGAAGGAAACCGAAGCCTGAAGAGCTCATGCGTCATTTTTGAGAATTAACTTCGTATGAGACAGAGTGCTCTGTTGGCGGATGCGACTTTGCACAACGTGTCCGGGATTGTTTACAAGTTCGGAAATACAACCATACCCAGGTCGTTCTCAGAAACCGGGTTGTTCAGCAGGGAACCACCAATGTGGTAGGCGAAAGCTCTCGAGTACCGACTGGAAGAGCACAGAATTTGTCAAAGTTGATAGGTAACTGCCACTTAACAGAACAGTCTTGCAGCAACTCGAGTGTAAGTTGTAATTTGTCCGAATCTTCAAGCCTAGATACTTCTGACCATAGTTTGAGATTGTCGGTGTAGAGAAAGCAGTCAGTTTGAAGCACCTCTGGAAGATCGTTAATGAAGAGGTTGAAAAGTTCAGAACCAAGGACGGAGCGCTGTGGAACCCAACTAGTCGTGCGAACAGGCCCAGAGAGAACCTCATTAATCTTCACCCTCATGGTACGACCATCCAGGAAATCAGTGCTCCAGAAGGGAACACTGCCGGCCATGCCAATCTTCCGGAGTATGATAAGGGGCCGTTCAGGTGGAATGCTATCAAATGCTTTGCTAAATCAATAAAAACAACATTAAGGCGAGCATCGAAATCCACAAACTGCCTACTCGCGGGCAACAAGTAGGTCGGTGATACAAGAGCATGCCCTCTGGAAACCGTGCTGAGCTGGAGTAATGATGTCAAGCCAGGAGATGAAACTGAAGGGATCTTTTAAAAGTTCTTTCCAATGTCTTGCAAATGATCGACATCAGGCAGATCGGTCTGTAGCACCAGGATCCCTTGATTTCCTCCTTTGTAGATAGGTTTCGCAATACCTACTTTCCAATCAAGCGGAAGTCAACCGGTCTCCAGAGAATGCCGAAACAATTCGCACATTGGTTAGGCAACATAGCCACTGTCTTCAGGACAAGAGGTAATTCACCAGGACCTAGCTAGAAGTTCGGAGTTAATTCGAGAATTCTCAGCACCATATTCGTGGTAATGTCGATGTGCTCCAAGGGAAAGTTACTGAATATCGGGATCTCGGCCGAGTACACTGATGAATATTGCGAGGCAGGAAGACAGGCTTTCCCTTAATCGTCATAGATCCATCATATTGCGACGACAAGGTATGCCACAACCCGTCATAGTAATTTTTCCGGTACGAGAAGAGCTTTTTTAAGTCACTGCAAGATTGCTCAACCAAGTGAGGCTCATACTGTTCCCTCTTCCTGCGTTTTTTCAGTGTACACAAATTGCTGAGCACTTTGTAATCATAATAGTCAGACGCTAATCGTGAGAACTTGAATCTATCCCACAGTTTTCGTTTTCTACCCAGTAGATTCTTAGGTCTCTACCAATTCGAGGATGACCTTTGGAAAAAGATTTGCCAGCAACGGTTAGTAAAAATTCGTCGATAACAGCGATTAATTTGAAGCGAAGAGGGTTCCAAGCAGTATCGAGATTCAACTTCTGAGGAGTACTCCAGCCCATAGCACCCGCGTCCATTTGTAGGCGGAATGGAACGACGCTACAGAAGTTTAAGTGAGGTATACCTCGATACTGAATGATGGGTCGTCTTGTGCATAGAAAAGAAAGCACGTAATGATCAGTTAATCTCTAAAGCAGATATATCGGATGGTTGAGGCACGAACATGAGATGGAGAATGTGCGGCGATTGGCCCGAAATTATCTGAATGGGTGACTAAACATGTTCAGTTAGAGCAACATCAAGCATAGTTTCGAGTAGGCCAGATTCTGAGGCGGGATCACAATAAAGTAAGCCTCAGTTGACGCTGGGGGCATTGAAGTTTCCCATTAGTAAGCAATCTTAGTCGCTGTTGTGTATTTGTATCGAGTCCAGCAATCAGGATCCAGACCAGTGGGCGGGGGGGGGGGCTGTAAACAACACAAACCATGAGCGAATTTCGTCCGTCGTGGATACATCAGTTAGTTAGTTGGTTCAACAACTATGAACCGAGCACCGAAGTGCGGTGGATACAGTTGCCAGAACTCACATCGCAAGGATAATAATAAAAACAACGGTAAGATAGTGAGGTTAAAGGCGAATAGAATGTAAAGAATGGAAGTAAGAAGAAAGCGATTTAACGCAACACAGAATGGGACAAAAATGAACAAGGTGCAAGAAACTGGATGCGAGAATGCCACTGATTGAATGACTGCGCCATGCCTGATACGGTCTCCAACCAATGGTATGGACCATCCCGAGGTTCCCATCTACGAAAACGGCAAGAACCGGCCTGACCAAAATTCAGTCAATTTCTTCATGCCACTATGCCACGTCATGGACTGGCCAACACGCGGTATCACGCAACTTGTTGCGGACAGAGCGTGCAATGTACGCCGAGAAATACGGTCAACGGGCATACGCAGAACATGGCCTAGTCAAGGTATGTATGTAATCTCAACAGACTAGTAACTAGACATAGAGCCAACAAAGCCATGGAAACCAGTGGATAGGAGAGAGCCATTGCGTCATAATCATCGTGGCATGCTAGTTAAGGTGGGTAACACACTTCAGCTAATATGCCGCAAGAAAATGGAACATTTTGACAAAAATACAGAACAAAACATTTTTAGTTTGTTTGTCACACGCCGAGTTTTCTCTTTTTTATCATTTTCAATGTTGGTAGTATTAAACATGTGAATCAATACAACACTGTACACAATTCTTCCACTGATACCGGTTGCGGGCCATATCTTCAAGAGTGCTAAGCCATTGGCTCTCCTCATCTTTGTGTCCCCATCCTGGAAGACGTACGTATCCAACAGCGGCTAGACACGACGTCAGCGATTTCATGTGCTGCCGCCAAGTGGAGGGCTGACCACCACGCGGTCGCTTCCAGCCAGTTCCTTGACGAGTGATTAGAGCGCGACCGGGTAGACGCTCAGGTGCCATGCGTAGGACATGACCGAGCCATCTTAACTGGCGCAACACAACCAGTTTGTTGAAGGAAATGCATTCCCCAAGATGCGACGTCGAACGTCATTACTATGAACTCGATGTTGCCACCGAACACGAGCGATCCTCCTTAAGCAACCGTTATCGAACGCAGAAAGACGACGCATGTCTTCCACGCGAATCGGCCAGGACTCGCTCCCATACAACAATACTGAGCGAACTGATGCGCTGTAAATGCGGCCCTTTAGTGAGAATGAGACGTCACGACGACGCCACAAGTGCCTCAGATTGACAAATGCTGATCGAGCTTTAGCGATACGAAGCGAAACTTCTTTGTTTATAGTGCCGTCAGCGGAAACACAGCTCCCAATGTAGACGAAACTATCTACCTGTTCCCTAGCCAAGGTAAGCGATTACGATTCCGCAAATACTCCAGTGTGGCACTAAAAGACTACCTACCAAAACCAACTGGCCGGCCACAGCTTTGCTCACCCGGTGTTCCCATTAAAAGTGAATAATACTCCGCAAGCACCGGAGATCAAAGACGGCCAAGTGTTGGATGTCTTCACAACGAACTGACCAGGTCTCTGATCGATACAATAAGACCGGCCTCAACGCAGCGTTCTACACCCTACCTTGCACCGACAGGCTGATATCACACCGTCTTCATAGATGATTGAGTGTGTGTGGAAAGTCACATGGGCCTTGCTGGTACACGAAGTAACTTCCACAGTGATGTGATCAACAGAGGCGACACGGCTACCAAGGTAAGTGAACCGATCTACCAGTTCCGATGGTTGTTCAGT